GAAACGTTGGTTAACATCGACCAAACTACACAGCGCAACAACCCAGAAGACAGAAATCTTCATACTCTGATGACAGAGGCAGTATGACCTCCGAAACGTTGGTTAACATCGACCAGACTACACAGCGCAACAACCCAGAAGACGGAAATCTTCATACTCACCGCTGTGAGAACCTCAAGTCTTACATTATAGAAGTAGTTCTCAACCCGCGGTCTGCCGTTGTCTTTTGTTCGGCCCGCGTGAATATTTTCCACCAGAATTAAGAAAATTTATTAATAAAATAAATCAACGACTGAATAACGTATTGAGCTGTATTTGAACCTATTTGCATTAGTATGCTTATTAGTAGCAGTTCTATTAGTTTTCTATTAACTTTCCTCATTTGTAACATGGCGCCCCGCGAGTCAGCAGCAAAGAGTATGTATTCTGTGCCAGGTATTGCTGCATGTTTAAAATAACTGTTTGCATATTTTCATTATCAGTGAGCATTTGAACAGTAAATCTGGAAATTCTATGCACTATGGCGTTTAGTACAGAACATTGAGTATCTGTGTGTGTCGTCTCTGTCATGGATATCCGCGTCGGCGTTCAGAGTTCATTTGTTAATAGAGACCGACTGTTGCTTGGTTGATTTTATCGTCATGGAAGCTGTGGGTAGAATGTAAGAGAATCTAGCATATTTTCACTGAATTCCAGGAGGGAATATTCCTTTGTTTAAATAGACAGTGTTGACGGTGACCCCGTGCTGTCAACTTTATCTCATTATTTTTTTCTTGGGCTGATAATAGCATTTCCCCAGGGGCACTACCAAACACAAGTAGGCCTGTGATTCTGTGTTCCTCCTGACACACAGTAGTCGCTACATGCCGTAGTTGGACAGAAGATTACTACTCCTTCCTTGCGTTAATGTGACGATAGTGTTTCTTGAATGCATCTTCACTTATTTGTGACAGATCACTCTACAGATCGCCAGTGCAGAACTATCTGCTGTCAGTGAATGAACTTATTTTTAGTTCATGTTATTCCAGCGACAAATATTGTACATTGCCGTTAGAAATGACTCCGAGGATTTTAACGTGTGTATCGGAAGTTCTATATTACAGACATTATTTTTAGTTCTCGTTCTTAAATTTCCTTTTACGTCATCGGAACGTGTGTTCTTATCTTTCTGCGTCAGTGATTGACATTTATAGCTTGCAAGTTTTAGTATGAATTACGCATTTAAGTGTTTTGGAAATGAAAGGACGCTGTGTGCAAATGTGACGGTGTTACTTTGGATTATGGTGTTCTGTTTGTGTCATCAGTCGCCTTGTGTTTGTTTGTATTTGGCTTGACCATTGCTTCCCGATGGCCATTTTATTTTCGACATCACAATCAAGGAAGTGTTTAGGCTTATCTTGAGAATTGTTTATTAGCTGCAAATACTGAGGATGCTATGCTAGCTACAAATTGTGACCATCAATGTTCTGCCTGGGCTACCTTTTCTGTACCAGCGTGTGCATGATGGAGTGGTCCATGTCTTTATCCAGGTCAGCGTCTAGTTCTAGCAGCGGGAATCGAAGTGGTGGTAGTCAGAGGTCCATCCGTAACTCAGAAGCGGCGTCTCTTATGCTCAGCAATTTTCCACCACCTAGAAGTTACGGCAGTCTTCTCACTTATTATCGATTTGTCAGAAATGGAACTATCATCTGTAATAATCAGGTATTACTTTATTAATCGGTCTGCATATATTTTACGAAATTTGTCTCTTTCCACAAACGGTAATTAAAACATGAAAACAGCAGTTTTTTAAGTTGTTACAGAATTTTGAATGTGATTATTCGTAATAACTATTTTTTAGTACTTCGATACGATACTGAATGTAATAAATTTATTTCTTGTGTTTATGAGAGGTACCAATATTGTATTGTAATTTTATTACGTCTGATTTAGTAAGTTACTTCAGTTTTTCATTTTCCCATTTATAATACCATTATAAAATGCATGGGGAGCTGGGAAATGTATAGGCTGCATTCTTGTTGAAAAATCTCATTGGAATATAATATTTGTTCCATCTCAGAGAAATGGAATTCGTGATTAAATTTTGTCAACACGGTAATGAACCTTTTTATTCCATAAAAGCGGGAATTTTTTTTAACCAGCTTATACCTGCTTGAAACGTGACATATTTAGTGTCAGTGATTATAAATTTGTCAAGAAATGACCAGCGCGGAATAAATTTGAAAACAATTTGTTTTAATTAAATTCAGTTCGGATGTTCCCCACTTTACTTTCCATGTGTTTCGTATACTTGACTAATCTTATTTCTTTGTCTGCGAGAATAACAGGTGGAAAATACAAATCTTTGTGCAGAAGTGACTTTAAATAATGTAACGAAGTGTTTTGCATAATGTGGAACTTCCTTAGTATCGTTATAGTACCGGTAACTAAATTAGTGAGGTTATGATAGGTTTGATACAGAACACGGATGGGGGAAACGAGAAACGCGTATGAAATTTTGGTGGTTCAACGCCTTATAAAAGGGCTACTTCTGAGACGAAAGCATAAGATCTGTTGTTTTATGATTGTTTCTAATTTTAATGTGCTAGATTTTAAGCATATGATGCCTGTTCTTCTGATTAATGTGCATTAGACGCTTTCTGTAAGTTGGTGACCGTTGGTACAATTACGTTATCGGGCTCCAATAATAAGAGATCACTGAGCCATGTTTCATGTTTGCCCTTGTTTTATATACATTTTATATCCGCTGCTTCTGGACAGTTGAATGGCTTCTGGTATTTACCAAACATAACCTTTTGTTTGACAGCTTCGTTTCGGATAATGATTCAAGTTTTTACTGCTATTCATGATTTGAGAACTCAGCAAATACTTATTCCTGCGTGTAGGTCAAATGTAGGGTGTAACCATGGCAGTGACGGTAATAGAATTGTAGTTCCATCGAGTGATTATTAGTACAGATTTTTTTATTCTTTCTACTTAGTAGCGTACTTCCTATCTTTCTCAAAATGTCAGTCACACCTGTGATTCTGTGGCAGCGGTTACAGCAGTAATAGTAGCTTCAGTTTCCTGGAATGCACTTTTGTCCATGTAAACCGAATAACTGACACATTTGCTAACAACAACATTACCAGCCAACCACTTTTGTCATTATAGTAGTATTTATTCACAACTCACCTTGCCAAACGCATTACGTAATAAAGTGTAAAATTGTAAAAAGAATGTCACAGTTTGTTCAGATTATAGCATAAATCTCCGATTACAAATATTTCTGTTGTTTATTGAAATACTGAGTTCATGTAATTTGAGAATATTACGTAATCGATCATGCCACTTTATACCTTGGACATTGTTACACACCAAGATCACTGCACGAATGTTTTTAAATGATGTCTCCTTAAGGTACAATTTGGCTGCACGCGACAGAGACAAGCGACCGAGGCAGGCGACAGAGTTACGAGACGGAGACTGGTCGCTTCCTGTCTGCTCTCTGTACAATCGTATGAAGTACAATTACGAGCACGAGACAAAGACAGGCGACAGAGACAAAGCACAGGAGACCGCTCTCGGACCAGTAGTGTCTCGCGACGGGCTCAGGAGCACGTGTGTTGTTGAGTAAAATAATGGCAGAAATTAAATTTACTGGTGACCAAGATGAGCAATTGGTAGCATTAGTAGCAGAAAACCGACCACTGACCACCGACAGAAAGATCCTTCTTCGCGTCTGGTTTTGAATATTGAACTCATAACACAGCAACACATCATCTTCTTCTTCTTCGAGTAACCTTTTTAGAAGCATTTGTGTACTCATTTTTCACAGAATATGTGCACGTATGTCTCAACAAAACAAAGAAAACAAACACTTTGCCGCATGTCTCGGTCGTCACCTCAAAAGTGTGTGGCGACAAGCTTAGATGTGTCCGTCTCCCGTCTCTGTCGCCTGCCTCGGTCGCTTGTCTCTGTGGCGTGCAACCAAATGGTACCTTTACTGTATCGAACTGTTATTGAAACAGTACATATGGATGTTTCAAAATTGTAACAGAAGCTCTTTTCCGTGCTTTTAGTTTAGTAATTGGTTCTAAAGACAACTACTGTACGCATCAGTTTACTTGGCATCTGTGCTTCGTAGTGGTCGGTTAGGTTGATACGGATCAAATAGCATTCCGCTTGGTGGTGTTTGCTCCGTTGGTACACATGCGCACTGCTCATGCTGGGCGTAATCTTATTTTTTACACTACTGTTGAAAATGTATGCACACATCGTGTTATAGTAACCTCATCTTCTGTAAGAAACCAAGATAAATGACGAGGATAGTAGGAGTAATAACCGCCATTTTAATAGGATGTTCCTGAAAGAAGTTTGACTTTTGCTTTCCTTTTTTCATCCGTCTGTAGACAAACGTCGAGGGAAATTACCGCCGGTTAATTTATTATGCACCCTTGTGACCTTTGTGCATTATATTTGATATTAAAATTTTCAACGCCTAGGGTTATATTTATATAGGAACGTAAAGATAACGACACGAGCCCTTGCCGATTTTTCAGAAAATATTATTCAACGTTTTTCAATGGAACTGTTTATATTGGCTCCGATACTCGTCCATTCCACGAACGAGTCTCGCCCAACTTACGAGGTGCGATCGGAAAGTTTCAAGACTGCGCCTATAAAAACCCGTACACTTATCTCAGGTATTAAATTCATCCATCACCCTCGAAATAGTTCCCCTGGGAGTGAACACAACGATCCCAGCGCCGCTGCCAAGCCTGGAAGCATCCCTGGAAAT